CATTCAGGTCATAAAGTTCTTAGGGAATAAACATTGATATGGGCTGTGGGACTTGCAGAATATCAGGTAACGGTGGTCACGGTCGTTAATGTCGGTAAATAAATCACTCCGTAGACAAATGCCCCCATGGGAAGATGTATTTTTTAAGTAGCTCAGTAAAATATAGGTAAAGTGTGAAGTGTCGATCTCTTTAAGATGCACACATACCCCCCCATGCCCTAAGTCCTATTGAACAAACAAAAAATGTTGCATGTTTTGATGTTCTTTGACCTTATCAGCCATTTCCTTGCTTTCCTTCTTATTTAAGAAAAGTCTATGACCAAAAGTCCCCAGTCTTCAAAATAGTAAAATTCCAACAGATACCACAATGTCTCTGGTGAGATAAGCAATTGTATATTCACAATTCCAGACCAGATGTGAGCTTTTCCTCTGTGCCCAGCGTTCAGTAAAGCCAGGAACTATTTAGCTGAGTTTATCTGAAGGGGAGATAAAAGATAGAAGCTTCCTGCCTGGCATTAAACCTTGCCCCATGCAGAATCCAGATGCTTGCAACCCTTTCCTCAAACTTTGTATATTTGTTGTTGTTTTTTTTTTTTTAATATTCATCACTTTCTGGCTGGTGACACCATTGAAGACTACAATAAACCATATTGTTGTGGAATGTGCTTTGTCCCCACCTGCGGAGAGACTGATTCTTTTTTTTTCCTCCAAAGCAGATTATTTATCTCAATTTCTTTAAAGAGTCATCTAAGGTAATTTTCATGGTTATTTCTGTTTTTATATGTTCCTGGTTTATTTTCTACTCTTCCCTTGAATTTACATAGAACGACTTCAGACACAGGAAAAAATGGCCGGGATTAAACAACAGCAGATTGCGCTTTTGCGTGTTGAACTTGAAGCAAGAATCTGGTGGGTGATGTGTTGGAAGGCAAGCTGGAAGAGGGTCGCACACACATAAGATGCAATGGACGGCAGCTGAAAAGATAAGTCCGGTAACAGCCGAAGGTGGTCTGAAAGTAAAATGCTGCCATAAAATCTCCTACAGCAGCGTGGGAAGGGGACCCACGGCATGTTCTGCTCCCGCAACGTGTGGTTGAGGGGCTTGGAGATGACCTAAGCGTCGCACTGGTACCGAAGCATATCAGCATTCAGAGAAACAGAGGGGAGTGGGGACAGTGGCCTGCCGAGGAGAAGTTAAAATATTTGAACAATTGATAACAATAAGAACTTTCAGGCTCTGGATTCTTGTTCTGATCCCCAAAATGCACCTGCCCAAAGAGGCGCTGAAGCCTCGGAGATAAGTTCACGACAACATTTGTAAAACCCCTTCTCGTCTGGTCAACAATGTATAATGGAGTATTATTGAAAAAATGCTTCAGAATGAAATTATCCTCAGAAAGCCCATCTCCAGAGACAAATGAAGCCTTCCTTTGGGCAGTTAGGAAGCATTTGAATTATCTAGAGAAATACTGAATTCTAAATGGTTTTTCTAAGGATAGACATGATTGGACGTAGAAAGTGTGCCCGCTTTATTTTGTGAAAGTTAAGGGAAAGGTTAATTTCTTATCAGAAAAGTCCCCTAGATTGTTAATGCTGGTGATAGCTCGATAGCAGTGCTTCTTACCCCCTGTGCTGAAGATCTCCTGGAGGATTTGACTGAAGGTATGGACTGCCTTTGCAGAAAGCACATCTCAACATGATCACGGAATTTCAAACACGGTGTCGAGGGATTGTCGAATTCGCCAAAGATCATTTATATTCCACTGCCCCCCTCTTCATCCCCTAATGGGTTAAGAACCCTGTATTGATGATAAATGATGGAACAAGTTTTTACATGAGCAGCGTAGATCACGCCGAGTCTGGAGCTTTACCAAGCTGGGTTAAAAATTCTGACTTCATCGCTTAGTTCTCTCCAAGTCGTTTGATCACATTCCGCTTGCAGTTAAAAAGGAAAAGAATGAAATAAGGATAGACCATGACTTATGTCTATTAATTCGTAATGCATGTATTCAGTATTACTATATCAATGGTATCATAAAACATACACAAAATAGAAGTTATAGAAGACCGAGATGAAGATGAGTAAATAAAATACCCCGCTAATCACGATGATATCATCCTCTATCAGTAGCTAATATCTCACGGAAAAATAGATTCTCAGATTAGAATTCATCATTAATGACAGTTCATAGAAATCCAAATTGCAAGTAGTCTCGCAAAATTGTGAATGTTTTTGACCTATTTCTCGTCAGATCCAATTAGACTGTCATTGTTTTCACGTCTCGGTATGGCTGGCGAAAAACTCTTAGAACTGAAAGTGGCAGATTTGATCTTGATTTTCACCTGTGAGTGCATTATTGGATTTATCTCAATCTTTGATTTCTTTGAAGGAATCTTTGAAGCCACTTGTTTTCCAAATAAGAGAGTTAATTGGTTAAAACCAGACAAGACACTTTGCGGAAGGTGTGAACTTTAGGCAGTGCCAACACCCTGAAGTCAGTGAAAGAACGAGGTGGGGGGCACTGTCACCCCTCCCCGGGCTCTTCAGTGAGTACTCCTCAGGTACAGCACTGGGCACGTGACCACTTTCCTGGGCACCTTTAAAGGTGCTACTTGAATGAATATAATGAACGTTTGTAAAGCTCTTCTCTTTTTGGTCATTATATATTCTTTTTTTTTTTTAAGATTTTATTTATTTATTTGACAGACAGAGATCACAAGTAAGAGAGAGAGGAGAAAACAGGCTCCCTGCCGAGCAGAGAGCCTGATGCAGGGCTCGATCCCAGGACCCCGGGATCATGACTTGAGCCAAAGACAGTTGCTTAACCAACTGAGCCACCCAGGTGCCCAAGAAATAGAATTAATTTCTTTCTTTCTTTCTTTCTTTCTTTCTTTCTTTCTTTCTTTCTTTCTTTCTTTCTTTAAGATTTTATTTATTTATTTGACAGAGAGAGAGAGATCGCAAGTAGGCGGAGAGGCAGGCAGAGAGAGAGGAGGAAGCAGGCTCCCTGCTGAGCAGAGAGCCCAATGGAGCAGGGGTTCCATCCCAGCACCCTGAGATCATGACCTGAGCCGAAGGCAGAGGCTTAACCCCCCGAGCCACCAAGCACCCCCAAGAAATAGAATTTCTAATGTTCTTCCCAAATCACAGTGAACTGCCTTGCTCACTCCACTATGGAGACCCCACCTTAGGCAAATTATTTAATGCTTCTCAGTTTCTTCATCTGTAAAATGGGGATAATGTCACGTAACTCAGTCGGATCAAGTAGACAAAGGGCATGGGTCAAGGCCTGTGCACAAACCCTGGCCTGTGATTTAAAGGAGAAATAAAAGGAGATACTATTATAACGATTACTACTCTATCACACAGTTGCTAAGTGTACTCATGTTGCTCCTAGCCTAATTTAAAAACCACACAAAACCTCCTCTCAGTGCCCTCTATATGACTTTGAGAGCTGTAGTTTCTCACCTCCGACCTCGCCCCCCGAAACCAAAGAGAACAAACCAAACAAAAGCATATTAGCCTTTTCAGCTTGGAAAACAGCGGATTCTGAACACTTAATAATCCTGTTCATTAGCATGAGAACTATTTGGGAAGACCCCTTAGATCCTATCAGATCATTTTAATATAGGGGGGGGGTTGTTTGCTTTTTGGTGTTTTTGCTTTGTTTTTAAGCAACATACAATGTACTAGACGCCTGGCTAAGTGCTGAGGTTTCAAAGATAAATTGAACTTGCTCTAGGCCCTCCAGGCACTAACCACCTAGTGGAGGATACCAAACAAATAATTGCATCAAAGTGGTAAGAGCTATAATGGAGGTACACACTGGTTGCTATGGGAGCAGAGTAGGCTAAGCAGCTTCTTTTGCCTGGGGAGGGCAAGGAGGGCCACCAGAAGGAGGCTGGGCCATAGCTGAGTCTTGGAGAATATGACTGGGAATCTGCATTTTGGTCGAAGGGAGGTATATCCAGTATGGCCCCTTAGAAACCCGCAGGTAGACCAGTTTTCTGGCACCGAGGGGTTTGAGGAAGTCAATGAGACTGGCAGAAATCCGTCTGTGCTCAGCCTTGGATGACATGCTATGACCGAAATTTATCACAGAATGGATTGGAAATAGACAAAGGCTCTTAAGTGAGAGGGTGATACCATCACAGAGAACAGGGTGGATATTTTGGAGGAATGACTGACGAAACAAAATCTCTTGAGACAGTTGGTTGGGGAAAAGGAGAAAGAAGAGCTTTTACCTCTGTAGTCAATTTACTTGCTAATTCTAAACTTATCACTAAAGTAAATGTCGGCTAATTCACTTTTGTCCAAGAGCCTAAACAAGTTTAGGCTCCATGACTGTAGAAGAAGTATTCATTTCCTAAGAGTCTGACTTGCTCCTGTTGGAAGCCAGGCAACACTTAAGCCAGCCATTACCAGTTTGCCTGGTGGGATTACAAGCTTCCAAACGTTGTACGAGGAATTGTTCTCTATGAGGATGTTATAGCCAGATACCAATTTTCAAACCCAACATCCACTCTAAACAGAACATCAACCACAGCCGACTTACATAACAAGTGAAAGTGGCCATACAGACATGAAAGAGCGACTTCCATCTCTCGATGCCAAACTAGAAAGAGAAAAGCAAGTTCAGAGAACACATCATGACTCATCAAAGTCCAAAAGGAAAAGCTTCACGCACACACAGCAACCCGCGCAACCTCTTGGGGTCCTTTTAGCCTGCAACCATATTGGCTTTTGTGTGGATCTTCTGCGACACAAAAGAACCCCATCATTTTCCTCCTTAACATCAGTTGTTACATGTTGCTTTACCCAAGAGATGAAGCTTCTGCTGCATGTTCTACAGGCTTCCCCTGCACCCGTACTGAGTGAATCATTTCTCCTGAGTGTAGGCCTTACTTTCTAACATTTCTACTTTCTGCAGCGCATGCCACAAACGAGACGATTCTTCCGAGGGAAGACCAGAAGGGAGAAGGTGGTGCCTTCTTAGACCAATACGAAGGGAAAAGGAGAGGCAGTATCTGTATTTAAGCTCTGCTGCTAGAGACAGATTTTATTTTTCAGTTCCCATAGTTGAGTATAGAATGCATTGATACCAGTCCTTCCCAGCACAGCATCAAAATTTTATATGAGCCGAGGAATATACACGTGGAGCAAAGCAAGCGTTTTCTTGTCCACTCTCCCTCTGACAAAACGCCGGGAGGAATGGCCAGCCTCGTCTTCCAGTGTCTTACTAAGATGATTGTTCTGTCTTTGAAATGTTGCATGGCCGGTGAAGATGGAATCCTAAAGGGATCAAAGGTACTTATGCACAAGGAAGGATAAGTGTGAGGTTGGGGTGCCAGAGAAACAAATTGGGCCTGAAAAAAAAATTAGAACCTATTATTAGCTAATATAATAAGCATTGCTATTAGGTGAGGGCCCTCTTACTGACAACTAGATTATCTGGTTATATTATTAGTTGCGGATTATGAGGCAGTTAGAAGTTGTACTTTTACTACGTTGCTAATTTCAAGGTTTCTCGATGTTTGTTTCCTGGGTAAAAGTTATCCTGGCATATCCTCAGGCAGAAAAACAAGTTCTAACAGTCAATCCTTTAGGGCATACTCTATCCTATTTCTCTTAGATGCGTTCTCTTTTGTTTTCCTGAGGTTCACTTTGGGATAGATGGGAAAGTATAACGCCGAAGTTATCAAGCAGGTAACAAGGCCTTAGAAACTACGGGATGGCTGACTTTGACACTCCTTGGCTCCTGAACTTGGTGGCCTTGCAAACTCTGCTTCCCCTCGCAGTGGACCAGCCACGTAAACAGATTTTGTCATTTCATGAGCTGATGCAGCCTTGTTTCTTGTCCTCAACTTCTCCAGTGCCTGGTTCCCAGCATCCTAGAACTGCGTTTCAGAGCTGCCTGGTCCACGAGTCAATTCTGCAACTGCAAAATGGTCTTAAAATAGGATTTTACTCTAGGGGGAAAATCCTCAACCAAATAGCCACAGTGCACTTTGAATGACTAATTGAAGCCATTACATTACAAAATAAGGGATACATCATTCTTTTCATAACACTACCATATAGGAACAGTTTTAATTTTAAGAGTCAAGCACTTACATTAATCTGAGTCTGAAATAATAGGCCCCTGATTTAAAATCTCCTAACATTCTTTCACACTTCATAAAACTAAAAATAAAATTGTCTCAGCAAACACTGACCTATTCCGCCAGCCAAAGAACTGTATTTCAAGGAGAATTGGAACAAGAGGTCGCCCAACTGCCAAGTGCCGGCAATCTACTGTGCGGAGCCTTAATCGCTCTTAAATGCGAGGTGGGAGAGAAGAGCCTGTGGACTGTACAGGATAAGAGATTTATTCCCCTTCTTAAATCAAAAGCAGATTCCATGCTTCAGCTGTCCCCTAAGCCGCCCGCCCCGCCCCCATGGGGTTGTTTTTCCGTAATTTTGTATATATTTTCTTCGAAGATGACAGGTGAGGGAAGCTTCAAGGGCCCTATCTGGTCCACGAAGTAAACAGAGGGGTTAGGATGGGCTTATTTATTTACAAGGCATTCAGCCTCTCAGCTGTTTTTTTCCCTCACTGGCATTTGGAAGCTTGCCGTCCTCCAGAAAAGAGACAGATTTGGCAGGAATGTTCTTTGTGCCCGCCTCCCTTTTTACCGGGGAGAAAGGGGACAGATTTATAATTACAACCTTGAGTGGGGGTTGGGGAGAAAAAGTTTCAGCCGGCACGACGATGCCTGTTTTTTCTTTCACGGTCAAGACCGTGCCACCAGCCGCTCTGGTGCCCCTCGGGAGCCCTCCGCCTGCCCCCTCCCTTTCCCTCTGCAGGCTGGCTCCGGCAGGCGGAGGCACGGTTACATTCCAGCACCTTCTCCACATACCCCCAAACTACTACGCGCTATTACTACGGCTGCCCTGGCTCTCCCGGTGCCGCCTCCGCTTCCCCAGCCTCCCCGCTGCGGGGTGGGGGAGCCCGGCAGCGTCCCCCGGCCCGGAGGACGGCGGGGAGAGCGATAACGGGCGCCCAACTCCTCCAGGGCTTGGGGCTCTCGGCGTCCTGCGCAGTTTCCCTGCTCCAGGCACGAGCACGGCCCGAGAGCCGGCGCCTTGCAGACACACACGGATCCACGCATACAGTAGAGCTGTCTCGATGCACATTCTTGCACACCGCCCCCTCCTTCCCCCGAGCTCCCGGAGTCGCTGAGCGGGGCGAGTGACAGGCGCGTCCCGCCAACCCGCGCCCGGCCGGGCAGGGAGGAGCGGCGCGCGGGGCCAACTGCGGCGCGTCTTCCGGCGCCCGTGGAGGCGGCGAGGGTGGGACGCGGGGCGGAGCCCGAGTTTAGGAAGAGGAGGGGATGGCTGTCATCAATGAAGTCATATTCATAATCTAGTCCTCTCTCCCTCTGTTTCTGTACTCTGGGTGACTCAGAGAGGGAAGGGATTCAGCCAGCACACTCCTCGCGAGCAAGGTAAATATAACTTACAACTCCTTTCTCCTCTTTCCCCTCCCTCCGGCCTCCGGGCTGCAGCCGCCGCGCGAACCCCTCCGGCACCGCGCCGCCTTCGCCGGGGATTATTCATTATTATCCTAATTATTATTTATTGTGCATGCACGGAGACCAAAACAAACAGGCGGGCCAACCGCCACAACAACAACAAAAAAGCCCGCCTCCTCCCCGCGGGCCTCAGGTGGAATGCTCTAACGACAGCTCCCGGGCGGCCGCGGAAGAAACGGGAAAGTTTCAACCGAACCTTGCTGTTCTAATAATAACAGTAATAATTACTACTTCGGGGAGGCGAGGGGCGGGGGGAATCCCCACAAACCACAGCCTTGACCCTAGGTAGGTAGTCAGCGATGCGCTGCCAACTCAAGGTTGCAACACACACACACACACACACACACACACACACACTCCGCCAGGTTGCAATCCCCCCCATCCCCTTAAAGCTGGGGGAGGGGGACGGTGGAGGGGGGAAGGCTGGAGGACCCGGGAGGAGGATGGAAAGGCGACAGTTCACCCCAGCAGTCCTCCCCGGAAGAGTTGGAAGGGGAGCGGGAGAGGAGGGCGAGGAGCCCGGGCTGGCGGCGGGGCGCCAACGAACGCGGCTGCCACCGCTTCCCGGGGACTTGTTTAAAGGGCTCCCGTTGCCGAGACGCGAGCGGATCGCGGCGGGCGAAGCCGGAGCCGGCGCGCCGTAGAGGCGGCAGCCACCGCCGCGGGGCCGGTGCGTGCCGGATCGGAGGTGTCACCTCCACTTGGCGGGTTCTCTCGGGCGGGGATGGGGACGCTGACCGGTACGCAGGCCTTTAGGCAAAGGGGTTACCGGGGCGCTGCGCCCGGGTATCTGCGGACGTCCCTGCCTCGGGTACCTGGCGGCCGCGCGGGCTCGGGTGTTGAAGTTCGGGGTGTCCGGCCCGGGCCGCACTGCCGGGAGGGCGGGAGGAGGCCCCAAAGAAGGAGGTCGGAGGTGCCCGCGGGGCTCAGTTACCCTGCCCTCCCCTTCCCGGGGTTTGTTTTCTTTTGCTTGGCGTCGTCCCCCAGCTTGAGCCGCGGGAACCTCGGGCGTGGGTCGCCCGCGATCGTCCGGGTGCTAGGGGCTCGCTGGGGCCCGGGAGAGCCGCCGTGGCTGCGGGCCGGGAGGCCATGATCTGGATAATCTTCTCTGCCTGACTGTCACAAACAGGACCCGCGCGCACCCGGGCAGCAGTGGTGGCGTTCGCCGGAGAAGGGGAAGGGCTGCGGGGGGGCGGGGGAAGGAGGGAGGGGGTGGAGAGGGCGGGAGGCGGGGAGACCGGGTGGGAGCCTCCTCCCAACGATGACACGCACCCCTTCCTTCTCGCTCCCTGCTTTCGAGTTTGCTTTATTCCCATCCCAACCTGATTTACCCCTTCCTCTGCTCTCCCCCTCCATCCGGCCGTCTTCCCTCCTCCCGTTTGCGTTGCAAAACAGGGCCATGCCATCTGCAAAGGTGTCGCGATGCACTTCCCCAAATAACCGGTCCGGCGTGCCAGTCCCTAGGCGCCCTCCGGCTGCGGGCGCACGCCGAGCCCTGTGCTCCGGGTGCCCCGCACCAGGCCTCGCAGCCTGGGCGCAGTTGCACCGCGCGGGGCGGGGCGCAGCAGTGCGGGCTCCGGAGGACCCCGGTGCCCTGGTCCCGGCACTCGGCGGGTTTCCGGTACACGCGGGGAGATCGCCGCCTGCCAGCGTCTTCGCGCTCGCCCCTGCCTCCGCCGCCTGGATTGCATTATTATTTTTATCCGGGTTGCAGCTTGCGGCGGATCCTGGTGAGCGCGGGGCAGGCCGGACTGCTGGGGGTGGGGGGCGGGGGTGGAGGGAAGTTGGACACAGATCAGGCAGGAAAAAAAAAAAAAAAAAAGTTTGGCAGGGCGGCTAAGTAGGGAGGGGGGTGGGAGGGGGCGGCGAGCTCCCGCCGCTCGCGTCTCCGCGCCCTCGGGGCCGGCGCGAGCGTGTCTGCGCGTGAGTGTGAGTGTGTGTTGTGCGCGCCGGGGCCCGTGCGTCGCGAGCAGAGGCGCCGGCAGCCGCCGGGAGCCCCGGGAGGACCAGGCGAGGTTTGGTGGCGGGGGCCGGTGGGGGTGGCGTGTGCGTGTGGCTGCGAGTGTGAGTGTGCGCGCGCGAGCGGCAGAGAATCAGGAAGTCACAGCAGCGAAGCGCACACAGACATGTTTGATGGCCGTGACATGACGCGCGCGAGGGAGGAAGCGGCGGCGGCGGCGGCGGCGGGGGCCGGGCCGCGGGCTCAGGCGCGGGCCTAGGGCTCGGGTGGGGAGACCCGCTCCGACAGCCGGTCGCGCCGCCGCCGCAGGCTCGCCGAGCCCCGCGCCTCTTTTTGTTCCGCGTCCCCCAGGTAAGGAGCCTGCGCCGGCGCCGCCCGCCGAGTGCGGAGCTTTCCAGCTCTTTCCCTGCCGGCCCCCTCGGGGCTCCCGGCTCGCCTTTCCTGCAAAGTCAGGCAGGCGGGGGAAGCGGGCTCCTCGCCCTCCGATCGATCGCGTGGAAAACTTTCCAGCGGGAAGCCCCGCGAGGGCGAAGAAGAAGGCCTCGCCGGCTGCTGTCGCTTGTCAGTTCTTTCTCCTCCGGGTCCGGAGAGTGGAGTCGCTGCTGTTGCACATTCAAACTTCGGGCCTAAACGTGCCTGCAACTCTCGCAGGATTTACTCCGGCAATAAAATAAATATGCCGAGTCGTCCCTTTGGTCTTGCCAGGCGTTTGGATTTTTTAAGAGAAGGAGACGGGCTTGGGGAGTCGAGGGAAGTGGAGGGGCTGTTGTGCAGAATCCATTCCTTCTCTGATGTCTGCGCCGGGTGTTATGTAATTTTAATAGCACATGGGTGCAAAGCCCACACTGGGCTTCTCCCCTCCTTTGTTTATATAACTTTTGCGAGAGTTTTGCAAGGTTTCGCCTTTTTTCCTTCCTCCCCAATCTGGTGGACGTTGGTGCTTTTGAAACAACAAAGCGACGGGTGTTAATATTTTAGGGAGAGGTGTCATCATTGTCTCCTGGTCATTAGATAGACTCCATTCCTAAGTACCTGAAATGTTAGAGCCTCGGGGAAGCGTTAAGGATACACGTTCATCTCCTGCATGGAGCGGTTATTTTTAACATCTGTGCGTCATGAAGAGCAGAGTTAAATTTTAAACTCCCATTTCAAAGGACTTTTTTATTTACACCTGGTCGTGCCGTGCTCCTAGGAGCAGAATGCTTGTAGGAACAGAAAGCTTGTTGCTGGCGTGTGGAGTAGCAGAGAATTTCTGCCGCACCAGCTAGGACTCAGAAGGCCCTGAGAGCTTGACTAAAATAAAAGCCATACCCAACAGCATGTGTGTGTATAGACACTTAGATGTGCAGGTTCAGATATTTCGGTAATATTTTGCATCGGGTTTTTTGGGGGGGGGGGGGGCACTGCTCCAGGCTTGTTTGCTCACACTAGACCTGGTAGGCGTCCAGCCTACTTTGAGCACACTGGTGAAGTGTTAAGAGGTGTGGCAGGTCTTTATCCAAGTTGGTGTATTGTTATGCAAATCATGACACACTCCCTCTTTTAGGGATCTAATTGCGCTTTTATTCTCCTGGACTTTTTTTTTTTTTTTTTTTTTTTTAAGTTCCCTGACTCCAGTGTTTGCACTGAGAAGGGACTGGGAGATACCTGTTAGGTACCAAAGATATTTATTGCAGTGGACTAAGGAAAAAATCCAAACCTGGGGACCGAGATCCATTTACCTGATTGGAGGCATTAAGCAGAGGTGGTGCCTTGTGGGTAAAGAAGATTGTGAAAATAAATTAGGAGTTTGGGGTATCAGAATCCTTGAAGAATGGTCAGAGGGGAGGGAGTGTCTCCTTCAATGCAGCCTTTCTCTTCTGAGTGACAGCAGTGACATCCCAGCTCTGGGACTAGCTGCACTGTGGCGTCTTAAGAAAATATTCACCGCAAGAGTGTGTTCAAAGGAGCTTTAGATCTTTTCTTTTGTTCGGTTTTAAAGTGGTTTTTGAGCATTTCTTGTCAAGTTTCTTGAAAGGTGCTTTGACCAATACCTGAGGCTTGGAATTGACCAAAAAAAAAAAAAAAAATGCCCCTGCTTGTATTTTATTGCTAATGCTGGAATTATTTCTGACAGTGTAACTAGAAAGGAACACTTTGGCAAATAATTATTCAAAACTTTCTGTCTTTGATTAAGATCAGACATTTACAGGCCAATGTAAAAGCGTATCCCATTCTCTCTAGGAGACCATTAGAGGCCCCTTATATTACTATAATATTTTGACATCTCATTTTAAAGGCTTTGTATTTATTAGAGCAAGATCAGAAAAGTGAAAACTTTCATAAGCTGTAAAATTGGTGGTGTCCTCCAGTGTTTTCCTGGCTTTTTTCTTTTTCTTTTTTTTTTTTTTCCCCTTTTAGAAATCTTCCTTTGTAAACAAGGTCTTTGTTTGTCAAACTGCCCTAGGTCAGCAGCTTTCTGATACTCCAGAGAAATAATAAATCATGATTGGTGACATCTTGACGTGCTGCCATGAGAACTGAATTATCACAAATATAATGCTGGGCAGGGTTTGCCAGCGCTGGCCTTGTGAAGGAGTGTTGATAGGACCTGATTTCAACCAGCCCAAGTTTT